GTCAGGAGAAGGTTCTTGTAACAGAAAAAGTCCTGATAATCTTACGGGAATGGGAGTAACGCATACGAAGTCGCGGGCAGGAGCTAGTAAAATTAATAATTACCAGAAGTAGTTGTCTGCAATATAAGTGTACAAGTATCTTGTACACGTTGAACAGCAATGTAAAATAGTTCATATTGTTGTACCATCTTTGTGACCCACCAAATGTTCTTTATTAGCCATATATTGATGCATAATAAAACTACTATGGTTTCTTTCTGTAAAACAGTTAATAAAATAACAACACAGTCTACAAAACATAGCAGAAAGACCTTATTCTAGACTCTGGATGTATTTCCAAACTACCGAAAATATCTAAAAGATGTAAAGAAAGGAAATGAAAATATTTTGCTAAAACATTTTTTTCGTCATGTAAATAAATGGGGATACATCCAGAAAAAATAGCCTTTACTAAATTAAAACTCCCCATACTCACCTCAATAATAGCCATAGCCACATTAATTGCCATTTGAATGTAAATAAGAGAATGCACAAAAACTTCTGCAATGTAGTATAGAATCTGGAAGAAAGAAACAGGTGTAATAAATAATATGAACAGACTAATAAAAATATGTCATCAAAATTTTTCAAATTAAATAATAGAACTAGAATTTGATCGAGTGTTGATGGTAGAAACTCACTAATTCTTTATAACAATCGTTATGAATATCATAGCACTTCAATATATTGACGTATGTCTGAAACAGTTCCTTACAGTAATGTTCTTCGTGCCTGCCTTCGATATCCCCCTTACATAAAACTTCAATGTTCCACATATCAACTTTATTAGTCAATAATTTTATAACTTGTACTGTGTAAATAGTATTGAAATCGAAAAAAGACAATGCGAAAGTAGGAAACAAGAATAAAAATGGAAAATCGGCAAAATACGCAAAAATGCAACTGTAGAAAGGGTAGTACATAAATGTAATTATAATGAAGATCCAATTCCAGAAGACACAGTTGTTAGAATCAGTTTTATTGTTGAGGAAGCTGTGCACTTTTTGAAATATTAACACGAAGTTGATAGAATACTTGGTTCGAATAATGCCGATGACAGCATTCATAGTGAACCCGATACTATAATATATACAGTCGTACAAATTCATAAACGTGTCGAAGACAGAGTAAGGCATTCCATTCTTGTAGTACTCGTAACTTTTGTATAAGCTGTATGTATAAACAATCATGATAAATGTGTTCCCAAAAATTGAAACGCAATTAGTGATGAAGTGATTTGGACGTATAAAACCGCTTTTAATGAGATATTTTGGAGAAAACATCACATATTGCATCACAATTAAAGGCATAAGGATTGATTGCACTTCTTTGTCTATTGTATTTATTAAAGCGGTATGTAAAGGATATTTCCATTCTATAATTTGAAGCATGTTTATTGTAGTACTGTTGTAGCGTTATAAGTCGTGTGACAAACTAATCGACAGATAGTGATGACGGCTTAGAAAGTAATTGTTATGATAATGCTTATGGAATTTCAGGGCACGATCAAATTATATTTTAAGTAATTTTCAAATTACAGACGAGGGAATAAACAAAAATATTACATTATAGCTTAAAATTAAGTAGTTAAATAAATGTATAACTAATAAAGACGAACGAAGACAAATGCAAATTTTATAATTAACATAACATAACATCACGCCTTTTATCCCCGAAGGGGTAGGCAGAGGTGCACATTATGCTGTACAATGTAACACCCACTTTTCACTACTTATGTTATGAGTCCCATGTAATAGGGGGTGAGCCTATTGCCATATACCGGGCACAATTCCAGACTCCGTGCTACTACTGAAAATTTTTAAAAACCCCAGTAATACTTTGCTCGACCCGGGAATCGAACCCGAGACCTCTTGCCCGGCAGTCGCACGTGCGACCACTCGGCCAACGAGGCAGTCAGGCAAATTTTATAAATGAATAGGATGAAACTTCATGAAGAATTACAAAATTGCATACTGTAATAGTACGATAGTATATTGAGTTCAGTTCATCATCAATTCCTGCTGTAACGCAGGGTCCACGTGGAACATGCCGTACAGACTCATCTTGCTGAATGACGCTCTATGTTCACGTAGCATGTTCTTACACAGCCTTTTTTGAGCATCAGTGAAATGAATTTACAAACATTTTAAGTACTGTACAACAAGCTGTATTTAACTCTTTGATAACGCTCGGCGATAAGTTATAATGAAGGATGAATTAATGAGAAGTATTCTGTAGGCTCTGTCTTCCACTGTGTTGTTTTATACAGAGTGTCCCTGAAGTCGACGATCAAATGGCACCAGGTGATCGGTAAAGTCCCAACAGCTATCAGAAAAATATATATATAAAAAATCTAATTCACATTATGTAGTTTTTAAAGTACGATGATTGATGTGTTATCCACGAAAAAGTACACCTTGTACCAGTCTTTCGACTACTGTTGCTACAATTCTTTATATTTTCGTCTGTATTTTTGATAAGGTTATCCTGAATAGTGCTTCATTATTATGGAACCACACATTTTGAGTCAATTGCTTTAGTTTAGAAAAGAATATCATGTTTTGATAAACCAAGTATTCTTAATAAATTTTTCATACTACTTTAAGTGACTGTACGAAAAAAAATGATCTGACGTTGGCGGTATTTCCGAACCGATACGACCTTCAAACGTTCAAGAAAAGGCCGGCAACGCACCTGTGTCTCTTCTGGTGTTGCGGGTGTCCATGGGCGGCGCTGATCGCTTACCATCAGATGAGCCGTCTGCTCGTTTGCCTCCTATTCCATAAAAAAAAAATTATACTGCGGTAGTTGTGACAAATTTTAAATAGGTTGGCGCATTTGATAAGGATTCTAAAATGGTATATCGCTCCCTACATTATTTCTTGACGCCAGATGGGCCAGCAAAATCGTTGCTTGGAGACCACGGACTGGAAGACGAAGCGTGGGCAGGCCTACCGCTAGGTGGACCCACGACATCGCCAGAGTTGCGGGGAGCCAGTGGATGCAACTCCACAGCAGAATTTAATTGTTTTTCTTTTTTACACTAGGATTTTCTCCTACGTCGTGGGTACGTTTACAAACATACAAGTTCACATACACATGACACTCAGACTCGAAACAACAATCTGTGGCTCACACAAAAGGTTGTTCATGAGTATAAAGTACTTAAGCTTTATACCTGAAGTTCTTTCTAAATTTGAGTCACTCCAAAGAGCACTTGTCAGCAAAAATGCGTCTTTAACTTGTATATGTTATACATGACATCGGCTCGACAAAAATATCGTATATTGCCAATACTTATTTCTAAGTCAAATTGGTGTTGGATGACACGCCGAGCTTGCACTTGATAGATGTCAATTTGTATGTTAATACACACAGATGACGTCATGTTTTCTTAAAAATGCATAATTTATGTTTTCAGAGCATTGTCAGACCAAGGCTTGAAGTTTAGTAGTTTACTTGGAAATTTTTGAATAGAATATCATTAACTTAAATGAAATCTGCATCGTGGAATTTAGTTTCGAGTTTTGAAGTTAATTTTTGTTCGGTTTTTCTTTTAAATATATCGTTGCGTTACTATAACACTATCAGCAACGTTGCAATGGAATTTGATAGAATGTAATTTGCCGTGATTTCAATAATTTTGCATTGTGTCCCAAGCAGACACGAGCGAGCAGTTTTCGAAAAACCGGAAAAATAAACAATAATTCCCAAAGAATAATAACATTACCTAATTAATCTAAATAAAACGACCAGTTGGCTCGAATTTGTACAGAACCGTCTATAACAGGCCTATAAATATTTAACGAAAGCACATGCTCTGCTTTAATAACCAATTTAAATTATAATTAACATATTATTCTCAAAGGAACATTGTATTTTCTTACGCTACGCTGCGATGAACCGAGTTTGCATACCAAAGGAAAGGTTGATAATCTAAAGTAATTGGCGCTCTGTGGAAGAATTAAATGCATTATAAGCTTGGTGACAAGGTTTGGTGAATGAAAATTGCATTCAAATTATTTGTGTGTAATGAAATCTTTTCAAAAGATTATTAATAAATTATCAGAAGTATATAACTAACTAGCTGTTCCCCGCGACTTTTTTCGAGTAGAATAATGACTTCTGGCAGAACGTAGGTTTTCTAATTACAGCATACGCAGTATAAAGATCTTGTTGGTAAATATTTCACACATCGGGATATGTTATCGAAATTTTTGCACAGTTCCGCTTGTCTTTTCTCTTCTAAAATATAGTTCATCACGGATAATGCAGGATTCCATTGGCAAAACACTTTTTAAAATCGGCCTAATAATTTCGGATCCTATTCAATTCAAACAAACAAAAAGATAAAATCTTTCCTCTTTATAATATAATATTAGTGTAGATAATTTAATACGTAAATAATACATATTACAATACATTTTGAATGTCAGAAGTGTTCTTTGAATGTAACTGCTAAGTCAATGATAATTCTGTAGACTAAAAACAGTACACAGTTAGAAGATGAATTACAGAAAGATCTTAAAATTATTTATTTATCTACAAACGAATGCGGAGCGAAAACAAGAAAGTCATTGAAGTGGCCTACGTGACAATACGCATGCGGGATGCGGTGAAAATCAGTTAGTTTCAAATTTTTCTATAAAAATCCAAAGTAAATAATAGTTTTTAACAATGCGACAAACTCTCTTCGGATGCGTGGGAAACGATTTTTTTCTAGGAAAAGCGTCTTATCTACTGCGTTCAAAAGAACTGACCTATTGTTATACAGTCCTTAGTTGATAATTTGAGAAACATTAAAAATAACGGTTGATACCAGTTTAGGAAACAAAAGAAATGCTCAGGGCTCTGGACTATATAAGGGAGGATTTTCAAGAACGATCACACTTACAGTTTAGACTGCACACAGTGACTACATATAGCGACGTGTAAAGATTAGTGACAGTTTATCGTGAATCATGGATTCTGTTAACATTTTCAATATATCAACAATTCAAGAAGAGAAACCAGGAACCGAAGTTGCTCACACTTCGTTCCGATCGATTGAGGAGTTTCATATTCTCAATAGAGTCGATGAAGGCTCCTATGGAGTCGTTTACAAAGCTGTCAATAAGAAAACAGGAGACGACGTCGCCCTAAAACATTTTAAAAGAATCAATGAGAGGACAGGATTCTCCATCGCCGCGCAGAGAGAACTCGACCTATTGATGGAGATGGGCCATGTCAACATCGTCACAGGGCACGAGATAGTGGTGGGCTCCAGAAGCGACGAGTTGTTCCTAGTAATGGAATACGTGCCTCACGGAGTCTATAACTTAATGGTGACAATGCGTAACTACAGACTAATGTTTGGCCCCGAGCACGTTAAGTGCCTAATGTTACAACTTCTAAGCGCCGTGCAATATCTACACGACAGCTTTATATTACACAGAGATCTCAAAACAAACAACATTCTACTAACAGAAGATGGTGTTCTGAAGGTGGTAGATTTTGGGATGGCCCGGGAATTTGAATCCCCTCACCAGCAACTTTCGCCGGGTGTGGGAACACTTTGGTACTGTGCACCTGAACTACTGCTACATAGCAAAACATACTCTTCTCCGATAGACATGTGGAGTGTTGGGTGCATATTTGCTGAGTTGGTTAATATGCAGCCACTGTTTCGCGGAACATCTCAGTTGAATCAATTGAAATTGATATTCCAGCAGTTGGGTACGCCTTCCGAAAATGTGTGGCCCGGCTACAGCGCATTGCCACTGACAAGCGAAGTTATATTTGATCAACATCCACCGGGCGGATTGCGCAAAGAGATAAAGCCGAGTCTACTCTCGGATAGTGGTTTATCTTTATTGGAACAATTTTTGACATACGACCCGTCAAGACGCATCACAGCAACCGAAGCCTTGCTGCATCCTTACTTTGATGAGCAGCCTGTGGCGATTGAACCAGCCATGTTCCTGTCGTCGCTAGAGTTGGAATACGTCGACATGTACTCCAACTACGACATGGACGATGTGTATTCGTCCGGGTTTGAGACAGAAGAAGATCACTCCTCCTACTCAGGATATCCTGTTGGTAGCTCAGAGTACGATGACAACGTAATAAAGACGTAAATGTTAAGGTTCCATAATTTGAGAAATATTGCAAATATTGGCAATATTGGTGACGCCATATCATCGGTGCCCCAGACCAGTGACGGTTTCGGCCCCCCGCGAGACCTGGTCGCCCCGACCGACTGCTGCTCGCCCTGTCTTAAGCTCAGCCTTTAGGCGTAATCCATCAGGCTTGACACCATATCGGGACCCGCAAGAGGCCCGACTACTCCAACCCATCGCCTGCAGTCGCAGGCAGCGATTGTATACCGTCAGAACAGGCATAAGCCTGTATCGCGCATCGTCATGCCCGCCCCCAGTCAGGAATGGTGAGACGACTCGGGCGGCGGACGTACGCCCTTACAGTTTTGACTGCAGATAGTGGCTATACATTGTAAAGTGAAGTGATTGGTGAAAGTTTATCGTTAATCGTGAAATCTGTGAAATATTTTTATCACTATATATGGATGACTGTTAGAGAGTGCCTTAAGGCATTTAGTCCGCTATTCACTGTTATCTTTTGTGATTTATAAATTTAAAATATACTGTGTAGTTATGTCTGTATAATATGTAATAGTATTTAAGTAAGATTCCAATAGTTGATAATTTAATACTTTCATTCTAATGTAAACAATCTTGTTTCCTTATGGCATCGAGCATTTCTTTCTTTATTGAAACAAATAGTTTGTTTTTTCTTGTATAGAAACACTATTTTTATGGATTGTCAGTATGCATAATTATGTGAGCACCATGTTAGACTATAAGAATTTTTGTTTTGTTTTTTTTTTATTATTTTAGTAAGTTTTGTAATCCGTATAACGCGTCAAGCGTGTCTTTTCATTGTTCTCACATATACGTACAGTATTGGAATATGTATCAGAGACATTGTAGAACATTCTTTTTTAAAAGAGCAACGAATGGAGTTCCTTGCTCGTTCTTCTCCATTCGAATCTACATTTTGGAATGAGCACCTAGCTTCACCTAGCTTCACTGACGGACTGACTCACAGACTATTATTTATTTTGTATTCTTTGACGTTTCAAAGGTACCAAATTATGGTTTCATTGAAATAAATGCTTTAACTTATTAACAGTGTAACTTAATGACGTAAGCTGTAATTTGTATTTGTACATTTCCTGAGTAAATAAATAAATAAATGTAATGCTATGTATAAACTGTTTATAATGATTTATAATGTAATACCAAGTGAAGCCGAATTGTTAAAGAAGAATGTATTTAAAACACAATTGACAGAATGGCTACAATAGAACTGTTTTTATAGTATTAAGGAATTTATGTCATTTAGAAATAAATTAAATTAGCTAATGAATGTTGACGATAAATTGAGTATTATAATAATTATGTTAATCGAATATATGAAAACTTTGTATGATAAATAAAAATAATTGATTGTATGCAATAATGACATGTATATAAATAATTTGGACGCTTGCTTGCAGGCAGAATATTGTCACTTTTAGGTTATAAGATCTTTCCTGTAAATCATATTGTATTTCTTGCAAATAACTATTTTGATTCGATTTGATATAACTCAGTTTATTGTAAATTATTGTAGTAACACCTCTGTAAATGAGAAATAAGTATAAAATAAATATTTGCTTTAATAATTTCAATTATGTTTTTTTATTGTTTTATGTCCTTTTCACACATTCTAATAACATAAATTTGCACATTAGGATTTTGCGTTTAATAGAACATACAATTGAAATCGATAGATAGAGAAGAAGGTATGCACTCAGAAACAAATAGAAATACCATCGTAACCTTTACTCTTTTCTGTATCAGTTTTCAACCAGGAAACGTTTAGTAAGTTTTTTAAATCGAACAATTATACTACCTATGTGGTTCAAAAAATACATCACATTGAAATCACCAAAGAGTAAATTAAAAGATTCAAGGTTATTCTTTGTTGCCGTTTAAAACATGCAAAATAATACTTCAAAAATTTTGGCAAAACATCAGTTTCTCATTTAAAGGTAAGTGCAAAGTAAGGAAGGGCAATTTTCATTAAGTATAATTGAAACGTAATTATAATTATGACGGGGCGCCGTCTCTTACAGCCGGCGGCTAATGCCATTTATTTTTACTTTAACTCATTTTTGAGATGAAAATGGTGTTCTACATGTTTTCTGGGCAAGAAACAAAACGGTCTATATTCAATACTAGCTTTTACCCGCAGCTTCGCTCGCGTCACAAAAGGATAAAAAGTAGCCTACGTGACATATACCAATACACACAGCGCCATCTATATCAATAATTTCGTATTTCCTCGAGAATATGAAATTTTTCCGGGATAAAAAGTACCCTATTATTTAATCCAGACTTGTAACTTCACGTTTGCAAAAATTCAAAGCAATCGGTTCAGTAGTTACGGCGTGATAGTGGAACAAACAAACAAACAAACAAACTCACTTTCCGATTTATAATATTATAGTAAGGATATAATTATCATCATGACTTTAAGGCATCGTTCATATCAAACGTATTATCAGCCACTGACTGTGAAGGTGCGTTACGAAGTTTATCGCTATTCCATATAATATACATGTCATGTACACCAAACCGACTATACGCTATTACGGATTGCGTTGTCGCTGATTGACTATATTACCAGATAGTTACTTTATTTTATTCATTTTCATTGGTTTTGTAGGTAGCGTTAGGTCCTGCGCGCCGCATCCCACGTGCATATTGTCATGTAGGACACTTCAATATATAAGTCTTATGTTTATATTACCTGCTGAGTGGAGTCCACTCAAAGTCAGTAAACGTCGCGGCAGGCCCAAAAGGAGATGGCGGGACGAATAAGACATCTATGACAAGGATTGCCATGAGAACAGTTACCCTTATTCCAATATGTCTTACAGTTGCATATTGTACACACGATATATACATAGCCAGTTTATTATGGTCTTTTTATATAAGATAAGCCTGTTTACTCGACGGTCTGGTTATACTGGTTTGCATAGCAGCTTAATTTACCCCTTTATGTGCAAGAGCAAATAGTGCATCTCTAACATAACAACATGTAGGCAAATATGTACATTTCGGCACTTAATGCCACTGTATAATGTAACACCCACTTTTCACTATTTATGTTATGAGTCCCATGTAATAGCCGGGCACATTTCCAGACTTCGTGCTACCACTGAGACTTTTAAAAACCCAGTAATACTTTGACAGACCCGGGAATCGAACCCGAGACCCCTTGCCTGGCAGTCGCACTCGTGACCACTCGGCGAACGAGGCAGGCTCTACTTCTTAGGAAAATGAAAGGCGTGAACTATCTAATACTATAGGAAGTTTTTGTATGTATGTTTGTTTGTTATTTAATCACAATAAAATGGCTAAAGAGATCCGGATGAAATTTGGAACAAGGGTATATTGTGATTTAATATATTCCAGGCTACATATATATATATATAACCTGTATAACATAGCATTTTATCCAACGGCAACACAGGCAATGTCGCTGACAGAAAATACTATTCATATATTTTTAAAAGATTAGAATTCTTTTCGATTATGTTTCCATTGAATTTTGAAACTCATTGTTGTAAGTCAAGCGACTAATGGCGTAGGCTTAGATTTTTCAAAATAATTCAATAGACAACTGTTGACGACAATAAATACATGTCATGCTCTGTATTTAAGGGTTCCTTAGAAGAAGAAACCTTTTTTTTGAGTGGGGAAAATCATCCAATGTCTTCTCCCGCCCGGGTGAGGCGGGAGGGAGTGTCAGACTCTTACTGACTAAAAACCACCCCGTTCCTACTCCTGCACTTCGAGCCGGAGCCCCGGCAACTTTCTTATCAGTAAGTTGTATATTTGGAACAGGATAAATGAACATATTATCGTTTTTTATACCTCGTTGCCCGCCTCGTTGGCCGAGTATTCGCAAGTGCGACTGCCGTACACGAGGTCTCGGGTTCGATCAAATATTTAATGGGTTTTTCGAAAAAATCCCAGTAATAGCACGGAATTGTACCCGGTATATGGCAATAGGCTTACCCCCTAAACCATGGCACTCATAACATGAATAGTGAAAAGTGGGTGTTACATTGTATAGTATCATTAAGTGCCGTAATGTGCACGGGTCTCTATTTTAGGTGCTTCCTCACGCTAAGGAACTTCTAGCTAAGAGATGGTTTAGGAATCTTCGATAAAAAAGACCACTAGTCGTGGTAAAAACGACATAATACAGAAAAGTGAGTCGACCAATAACTCTAAATCAACCTTCTTAATATTACGGTCATGCAGAACCCGCTTACGTATTCTACACACGCATGGCCGGCTTTTGACAGTTTGCGAACGAAGATCAATCTTTTTAAAATATTACCCTCATTGTACAAAGTTGTCGAACATATTTTCTTGATAATATCAAATACAAAGGCTTTAAATCTTGCTAAAATAAACTTTGAAATATCTTATCATGGAGTTTATTATTTTACTAGCTTCTCCTAGCGACTTGGCCCGCGTGCCCGGGGGTGAATGGGGTACAGGCATAAAACCAAGTCTCTACGTAATCGGACCGGTAGGTCTTGCGTGATGGACTAACTTCTGCCGTTTTTCCAACATTTCCCTTTACTGCTCTGCTGCTATTGATTTTAGTGTGATAAAAAGTATACTATAATCAGCTCAAGAGTATTAAAAATAATTGTACCAAGTTTCGATAAAATCCGTCGAGTCGACAGACCGACAAAAATTGAACTGACCGCATTTTGGGCATCAGTACCGATCCCTAATAGTTATTATGGTTTATTTCATGTACAAAATTGACCACTTTACAGAATTATTATAGGCATAGATAGAAGATAGATAAAGTATGGTTACCACGATTAAGAGTGTGTACCGAATATCAAATCGATCTGACGTCAGGAAGGGGTTACCATTTTAATTAGTGAATTTGATCCAAGCAAACATATGGGGCAAGCTAAATAAAACCGTTTCATAAATATGTACGTATGTGTATATATAGCTATACCCTCGCTTTATGAACT